GAAGAAGGTTTGGGACAAGCTCCTGGACGATCCTCACAGCCCAGACCACCTACGCGGGGAAGACATCAACGGAGGGAGACCCCACGCCTGGTGGCCCCGGAGTCTGCCCGCACTACAACAACCCAACCCGCGATCCATCTGTGTCAAAAGAACATAGGAATGGAGGATACTGCAGCGGGCCTATTGGCCCATACTGGGCAGTCCCGTTTACACCCAACCCCTATTGCTCATATGAGCATCCAACCTATGTTTGAAGCAATTCAGCGTATTCGAGTTAATGATGATATTTGGTAACTTGTTCCATTCATCCACTACTCTGTTTCCAAACCAGTGTTTACCTATTTCACGCCTAAATCTAAATTTGTCTAACTTAAAACCATTGTTACGAGTTCGCTCCTGCTTGGATAGCTTGAGTACCTTTGTAATGTCCCCTTTGTTTAGCCCTGCCTTCCACTTATACACCTCTATCAGGTCGCCCCTCGCTCTACGTCTCTCAAGGGAGTGCAAATTAAGATGCTTTAACCTGTCTCTATACTCAAGGTTCCTAATGCCCGGGATTAGTCTTGTCATTCTCCTCTGAATTCTTTCCAAGGATTCTATATCCATTCTGTAATACGGTGACCAGAACTGAACTGCGTAATCCAGGTGTGGTCTCACAAGAGCAAGATACAGTTTTAGGATGACCTCGCTAGTCTTGTAACTAACACTCCTTTGTATGAACCCAAGTACTTTATTAGCCTTGTTACGAGCAAAAACACATTGTTTACTTGGCTTAAGGTTCCTACTAATCATTACTCCTAAATCTCTCTCGCAGTGGGATTACTCTATGGCATCGTTGTTCATCTGGTATCTGGTTTCCCTGTTTACATCTCCTATACTGAGTACTTTACATTTGTCGACGTTGAATTTCATCTGCCATTTTTCAGACCATTCGAAAAATTTGTTTAGATCTTCCTGTAGTTTTTCCGAGTCCTCGTCAAATTTGATAACACGTCCTATTTTAGTCTCATCAGCAAATTTACTTATGTTGCTGTCTATGCCGATATCTATGTCGTTTATGTATATAATAAACAATAATGGTCCAAGTACTGAGCCTTGGGGAACTCCACTAGTGACGTTGCTCCAATGGGACTTAGTGCCGTTAATGCTCACTCGCTGTTTCCTGTCCTGTAACCACGCCCTAATCCATTTAAGGATGTCACCTTTGATGCCATGAGCTTCTACCTTTCTAATTAGTCTTTCGTGGGGGACTCTGTCGAAGGCTTTACTAAAGTCGAGATATACCACATCATAATTGTGCCCCTCGTCCACCGATTCGAAAACTGATGCAAAGAATGTTAATAGATTAGTTAGGCAAGAACGTCCTCTTGTGAAGCCATGCTGGGAATCATTGATCAATCCGTGCTTCTCCAGGTGATTTCGAATAGAGTTTGAAATGATTGCTTCCAGTAATTTGCCTACTATTGATGTTCGACTGATTGGGCGGTAGTTAGAGGATAGTGATCTATCCCCCTTCTTGAAAATCGGTATTACATTCGCTATCCTCCAGGATTCTGGTACTACACCTGTTTTTAAGGACATGTTAAACAAGTTTGCTAAGGGCATACTAAGCTCTTCCTTACATTCCTTTAATACTCTGGCAAATATCTCATCGGGACCAGGTGACTTATTAGGCTTTAATTTGCCTATTTGCTTACTAACATCATTACTAGTCACTACTATCTCACTTAATTTGTTTTTTTCACTATCTCTGAATAGAGTCGGTGCCTCGGGTATCATGTTTAAATTTTCGGTGGTGAAAACTGTTGAAAAATATTTATTCAAATTATTGCTCATTTCTCCATCGTTATCAGTGAGGCCGCCGGAGTCTGACCGTATTGGTCCAATCTTTTCTCGTGTTTTAGTTTGATACATTTGGTAGAATCCTTTGGGGTTTGTCTTCGCCTCCCTTGCTACCCTTACCTCTTTATTCCTCTTTGCTTTCCTTATCTCGGTTTTAACCCTACTCGCCAATACCCTATAATAGTCCCGGAGGTGAATTTCGCCACGATTTATCCTTTTACCTATAGCCTTCCTTTGGCCTATGATGTTCTTTAAATAATTATTTATCCATTTAGGGTCATTGTTGTCTGATCTGAGTTTTTTGTATGGCATGTTCTGCCTTTGTGCATTAAGTAACTCACTATTTAAATTGTCGTTGAACTCGGCAATCTCAGATCTCGTTATCAGGTCGGTGTCATCTGTCAGGTTCACAGCCAAGCGCGACACCCCTTCTCTCAGCTGCCTCTTTAAACTGTCAAAGTTTGCCCTTCTGAAATCTGGTACTTTAGTGGAATTTTCCTTACGTCTGCCCTGAAAATCTAACTGGAATCGAATTTCTTTGTGATCGCTGTTTGCAAGTTCGTTCCCTACCTCGACATTGCTAATGAGGTTTTCTCTGTTCAAGAGAACTAAATCCAGTATATTATTACCCCGTTTGGGTTCGGTTATATGTTGACTTAGGAAACAGTCCTGGATCGTCTCGAGAAAATCCTCTGATTCTGAGTTGCCCGTAAGGTCAGTCCAATCTATTTGGCCAAGGTTAAAGTCGCCTACTATACAGACTTTGTTGTGTATGGAAGCCCTGCGCATTTCATCCCAGATAAGTCACTCATTGACGCTATCAAGATTGGGGGGTCTATATATTACTCCTGTGATTAATTTTTCCCGACCGTCGCTTAATTCTATCCAAATTGTTTATGTATTCCTCTCAGTTTATATTTCCTTATTTATTTCACACTTCAGATTATCCCCTAACATAGATTCTTTCTCCGCCTCCTTTCTGGTCACTACTCGGTGTGGAACAGTTTATATAATTTGTTCGACTGGTAATTCCGTGTCTCTGGTTGATCCATATTTGATGGACTGATTATATCGATTTCTTGATACATACAAGGCCCTAATATCTATGCTCTCATACTTCTACTGTTAGTATACATTAAGTTAGTAGTGTTAGGTCCACTTTTACGTTTTAGTTTTAGCTCCTGTCTGCTTTAGTTTTGTCATCATTCCTAACACTATTTCCCTGTAATCTTTCGCCTTGTTTACCCGCTCCCACTGCAGTCTCCTCCACCCCTGTGCCCATATGTTCTCTTAGCAGTTTAAAGACTTCGATATCTTTTGAACTGCCCCCTCTAGAGCCCCAGCCAGGGTTGCTACTCCATCCCTAGACAGGTGCACCCCATCCCTAGCATAAAGGTCCCTTCTGCCATAGAAGTTGTCCCAGTTGTCAATGAATGGGACTGATATTGACTTGCAATATCTGTCAAGACGGTCGTTGACACCAACTGCCCTTGACAACCATTCACTGCCAACTCTCCTTCTAGGCAGGACACGGCATATGATAGGGATCCCTCCCTTAGTCCTAATACGATCTATAGCTGCCTTGAACTTATCAAGAAGTTCCTCGCTCCTACACCTGCCAATATCATTGCCTCCTGCACTGAGGCAGATAATGGGTTTGTTCCCATTACCAGACAAGATATTGTCCATCCTGTCAATTATATCCCCCACCCCAGCTCCTGGCAAACACACCCTCATCCTATTTTTGTTTTTACCACAAAAGGCCCTGTCCATGTACCTTACCTGTGAGTCACCAACAATTAAAGTTTTTATACCTTCCTTGTCATCCCTGCCCCTGACTGTACTAACGTCCAATTCGTCTATCAAGGGACTGAACGGTTGGTACACTTAGCTGTTGTTGTCGTTGTTGTCGTATCCTTCGTGTGCTTCTTCACCACCAGCTTTGTCTTCCCACTACTCACAATTTTCCACTCGCTTGATTTTTCGTCAGACACTGGCTTTACTCGTCCAGCCTCTCCTTTTAACTTCGCCAGCTCTTTCCTTAATTTCAGGTTCTCCAACGTGACCCTCTCAATTTCTAACTTGGCCCTCGCCAATTCTTCAATGGACCACTCCAGTTTGGTCAACAAACTCTCATACCCAAGACCGCACATAGCACTGGCCATATCTGATAATTATCCCTCCGGAGCTAACCCTGCCGTGACCTTTTCCCTAGTGAGGTCAGAACCGCCACAGTGATCCATCTGTGTCCGCCACAGTGATCCACCTGAGATTAAAACTTAGATGATATAAATTCACATTTAACAAGTCACAATCAAGTGAGCCCATAACGTAATACAGTATAAGATTTAAATAAACTTGTAATTGTAAAATAAATCTAGTCATTGTCTACTAAAATAACCATTGTGCAACCTCATCCTAAATCCTAGGTTAGCTTAGTTAGGCAACAAACTCTGTAATATGTAAAACAAGGGGTGTCGTCCCCCTCTGTTTAACTCATTAAACTTCTTTTCCAACCTTTTCCTCGATGACTATATGTTGTGACTTCTCTATCCCTCATGTCTGGCTGTGTCTTGAGCCCAGATCGGAGACTCATTTCCGTGTCTCAGTTTCACTACAGGGAGCGAACTTTTGTTCACGATAGTACGTGTGTTGCAGTAGGCGTTTACACCTCCCTTAGAACGACGTTGTTATTCTTTTAAAACTGTTATCACTTTTCAATTTAGTTGAATTATATCTAATCGCTCTTACATCCATACATAGTACCTCACTAGTCGGGAATCGACCTCTTTTGTATTCCTTGTGGCGCAGTGGGAGCGATCTCTGTTCTCATGTAGAGGTCCAGGGCTCGATTCCCGACTAATGAGGTATTGTTTGTATAAGAAAGTCCACGTGTTGTGTGGACTGATTAGACACACACACACACACACACACACACACATATATATATATATATATATATATATATATATATATATATATATATATATATATATATATATATATATATATATATATATATATATATATATATATGTGTGTGTGTGTGTATATAATTTTAAAAGTACGATGGGGAAATTAACAGAAAGACAGAAGCAGTCTGTGGCTGTAATAATAATAATAAGAAATATGTATTTGTGTATTTTATTGATTCTTACCCAGATGTTATTGAGAGAGATGGACGTGGAGATAGTAATCTTGTCAGGGGCGTGTGTACAAGCTGTCGAGTTCCTTAGAATGGTATAATACCATTGATCAAGAAGTCCATAATCCAATATTTGCCTCATTCTGCAGGGGAAAAAATTAATGTAAATGTAAGATTGTTACTTAAGTTATGTACATTAGTGTTGTCTTGTATCAGTAGAGTTGTGAACGGGAGCGATTAAGGGAAGATATAAATAATAATAGTGAATCTATCGATCAACCTGAGATCAATATCATGCAAATAGGTTAATTATCCCATAGAAACATTGACAGAGAGTTGCAAGATTTTCAAGAAAACATTAAAGAAAGGAGCGCAAAGGTTAAATAAATGATTTGGGATATACAGCCGTACAAACTGTAGTTCATAACATATTGTGCTATATGTTTGATGTCATTTGTTTCTGTTTGCTTTATGTTTGGTACAAAACAAAGAAATATGAAAAGACTTCATTCGATAAAGAATTTCATCTTTGACTTCGACCTTTTATGATAAATATTTAAAAAAATTCCAGCATCTTCTCTGGAGTGCTAATGCCAGATATTTAATATTATTTTAGAGAATATCAGGTCTGCTTGTCAATTGTGAACACATTTACTTTGAATAAATGGACAGATACACGAACATTTTCTATGAACCATTCAGCTATTTTTATGGTAGAGGGTCTTGGCTTATGGGCCAGGTTAGCGTGGAAATAGTAAAGTATATGATAACTCTGGTACCTGGCGTTAAATGCCGTGATGATGGGACTGTCTTTTTGTGCAATCAGGGCGTAGATTGTGACCAAGAAACTTTCTTTCGACCAGTAGAAATCACATCGACCTGAAAGACGCACGTATACTGTACACATACTCGTTAAAAATGATTTTAAGATGTTTAACGTTTCCTATTCCTCAAAATGTTTACGGGTAAGAACGACAATTATTAGTGATATTATTTTTTAGGGGGCAGTTAGACTACACATAATATTAATATTATCACAAATTATTATTATTATTATTATTATTATTATTTTTTTTTTTTTATTACTATTATTATTATTATTATTATTATTATTATTATTATTATTATTATTATTATTATTATTATTATTATTATTATTATTATTATTATTATTATTATTAATATTATTATTATTATTATTATTGTTATTATTATTATTAGTAGTAGTATTATTATTATTATTATTACCTACTTGTGAGAAGTAGTAGTTCATGATAACTTCAATGGTCAATACCTCGGATATGAATACGTGGTCACCCCGTCTCACCAGAGTGTCGGTATCGATGACGAAATGTGATGGGGTAGTGTATTTTACAAGCCCTCTTTTCTCTGACTCAGCGACTTCAGAGAAAATTCCTGATTCTACTGACTAGTGGAAATATAATAGTCATTGGAAGCAAGGGGAAAGAGAATTAAAATTTGGGGTTTCCAAATCATGAGGTTTTACAACACAGGATTTGCTCGAGCACTAAATATTTCAATCGGTCTTCTGTTGTAATAGATAGACAAAAAAAATATTACCTTCGGTAAAAAATGTTTATGAGATGTTTTTATAATGTTAGTTGATAAATCGATTCATGAATATAATTATGAGGTCAGTATATACAGTAGGGAGTGACAGTTTGGCAAAAGTTTTCAAAATCTAATTGCTTGGGTTGGATTATTTGTCTATCGGCCACGCTAATTCCGAATATATTTGAGTTTTTTACATCATTGCATTAAAAGGTTTGTGGATACTTTTGGGTTTGGCATGAAAAACGCGAAAAAACTGTAAATAATAAAGGGACTGGCAATGTGGCACAACCTGTTAAAATCAAGTTATTGAATTGGATTATTCGACTACTGTGTACACTGGTTCATAATATGCTATTGTTTTACAACTCAATGCGCTACAAATTATGCCGATATTTTTGCTGCAAGCCACCACATACGTATATTTCGAAAACCAGGGCCCAATATTACCAACGGCGTGGATAGATTCCGTGGAATGAATTCAGGACATTCCCGCTCATGGAACATTACCAAACTCCGTATATGTGCCAATGGCAGGCCAATGGCAATATTTACAGAGTTTGTTGAGGCTCCCTGGACGGGAATGCCCTGAATTTATTCCACGGAATCTATTCACGCCGTTGGTAATATTCGTCCCAGGACTGATCAACGAATTCAGCCCAAGTAGCTTGACTTGGACAGTTAAGGACAAAATCTCAGTCCGTACTTTTGAATAAAATATTGTTCAATAGGTGGTGATATTGAAGTGCTGAAAGTTGTTTTTTCTGTGTTGTTTTGCAGTTAGTTCAAAGGGCCGCCACCAAGATGGGTCGTCCTAAGATTAGCAACACTCAGCTGCGCCAGGGTAACGATAAGGTGTTCGGGGTTCGGATGCCTCTGCCATCTAACAAGTTGCCTCTGAACAAGGAAGTTGGAAGTGCCCTGGCTTATGAAGCAGAAAACGAGAGGTTAAGGAGAAGAACAAATGCTTTTGATTATATGGATGCCACCAACAAGGTGACTGAGAAGGTACTGGATGTGTATAGGAAGGCCACTGTCCCCACTATCTCTGAAATCAGGGTGAAAATGAGAGTCCACGACCTGTGGAGGATGCGGAGGGAGACGATGATGATGAAGGGAAATGGACAGAAACAGAAAAGGAAGAAAACGAAGAACGGGAAGCTGAAGATGAGGTTCGAGGATATAGCTGAGAAGTTGTTTGATGTGGCAGACGACAGCAAAGTGCACGAACGAGAGAAAAGCTTCCTGGCAGCCCAGAGGAAACCGGGAAGGGAGGGCTGCATTGATGGCGTTGACAAAATTGTGACTGCCAAGCTGAAAGAAGAGAGGGAGAAGGAAGCGAAGAGGGCAAAGAAAAGGGCTGAGGAAGAGAGGAAAACTGAGAAGATGAGGTCAAAGAGTAAGGAGGAGATGGAGAGGATGTCGTGTAAAGTGTCGGCAGTGGATGACAGTGCTCAGGAAGAAGATAGTGATTATAAGGATGTCAATGACAATGAGTTCAAGGCTATGGTCGACAGGAGAGCAAGATCAGAGAAAAGGAAAAGGGAGAAAGAAGCCGAGGACAGGATCGGAGAAACTGCTGACAGGTTCAAGGTATCCAATGATGCAGTGGCTCACATCGCAAACACCATCAGAGCTGCAGACAACATCATAACTGAAGGGGACAAGTCTAAAGTGACTAACTGGAAGAAAGTGGAGAGAGTCAGGAAGAGGTCACGAGAACAGAAAAAAGAAAAGTTCAGGGGATTCAAGGTCAGAGGTCTCATGGTAGATGAGAGGATCAATGAGAACAAGATAGTGACTGGTGTAGGTGAGAAGAACCACAAGAGATTCGCCATGGAAAAGAGGGAAGACTGTGCAGTGATCGGCTTCCCTGGTGAGGAGTTCCTTGGTCACCTGGTCCCGGTGGGGGGAAAGGGGGTAGACCTGGCCACCAGCCTGCTGGCCTTCCTGGAGGAGCGCGGTATTGACACCACCGACCTCCTGGTTGTCCTTAGCGACGGTTGCAACAAACTGAGTGGCTATAATCACGGTTTCATCGCCGAGTTTGAAAGGCTGTTGGGACGGCCTCTCCTCCACATCCACTGCCTGATCCACAGTCTGGAGAAGCTCTTCGGCCATCTATTCAACCATTACGCTGGCCCAACCACTGGTCCCGCCTCCTGGAGTGGTGAGGAGGCTCGGAAGCTGACCGGCAACGTGTGGGACCTTCCGGTGGTTGAATTCGAGGCCGTCACCAACACCTACCTCAGGTCTCTCCTGGATGCCATCCCCTCCGTCGTCTGGGAGGAGTTCAGCTGGGACACCCGGTATCTGTTGGAGATGGCCAAGACGGTGGAGTCCGGCCACATTGAGGAGAGATGGGCCAGGGCACGGGCCGGAGCCATGACCAACGCCAGATGGCAAAACACGGAGAGCAGGGAGCTGAGGGCCTACATGAGCACCACCTCCCCCAGCGAGTCACAGAGACGGATGACCTCCTTCATCATCCTTATCTACGTGCCCTCCTTCTGGAGATCAGGCAGAGGAATCTGCTACTGGAGGGCCCACGCCACCTCCTCGCCATCATCAACCGGGTGAGGACGTACTGCACCCTGGAGGAAGTGGAGCTGCTTACTCCATACCTCCAGTTCAACGGCTACTTCGGCCAGCACGAGGTGGTGCTGGTCTCACTGCTGGCCTCCATGGACAAGAGTGAGAGGGAGTTGGCCCTAAACATCATCAAGCAGCTGAGGAAGAAGGAAAAAAGGCACAAGAGAAAGACAGTGAGGAAAGTGAGGAACCCTCAACTGAATCTGGCAGCCACCAAGCTGTCAGAGTTGGTTGATCTGCAGAAGGCCAGCTCCTCCCCTCCCATCCTGTTCCAGCACAGTGACCAGGAACTGGAGCAATTTCTGGAGGAACCGTACAGTGAGCCAGGTCTACCCTGCACCACCACCGCAGTGGAAAGAGGAGTAAAGCTCACCACGGAGGCGGCAGACGTGGTCAGCTCTGCCTGGCAGCAGGACCAGGTCACCTGGAACAAGCTGGAGGCCAGGAAGAGAAACAAGCGGAGGGCTAAGAAAGAGGACTACCAGTGCTAGACTGTGGGGACACTGGGACTGAGGGGACACTGTGGGGACAGCCAATGTTAGTGTGCCAACTGTGCTAGTGTGCTGCTGATAAATTGAAGCATACATGCCAATAATAAAGAATGTCTACCATTATTCTTGTTTTTTTTTATGTCGAACCGAAAAGTATCCACAAACCTTCTAATGCACTGATGTTAAAGATTCAAACATATTCGGAACCAGCGTGGCCGATAGACAAATAATCCAACCCAAGCCACTTGATTTTGAAAACTTTTGCCAAACTGTCACTCCCTAATATACAGTGTTCACTAAGATATCTACATGTATCTTTTAACTGGAACAGTACACGGGAAAGTCCTACTCGCTTTGCTGACAGAAAACCGCTTGACCCTTAATTTGAAAGCTATTCCACAAATTCCTGTTCATAGAGAATTCATCTCAATTCTCATTATTTTGCTTTTTTCACAATTTTCAATCATTTTGTAAGCTATTGCATATGACTAACTCCCAATCACCTACTCTAAAGTATTTCACATATTTTGTGTTGGCTTCCCATATCATGGTTACAGACGGGTCATCCAGTACGTCCCGGAGGCTCTGGTAAGGTTGAGGAATGTGTCTCACGGCCAGGAGGGACATGAGGTTGCCGGCGTAGCTCCGTGTTAACACCAGCGTCGTCAACATCCACACCCCTAACACCACCAGCTGCCACAAACAGTCCGTCATTACTAAGCTATCTGTAGGAGCAAAAAAATCGAAGATAAAAGGGAACACTCACGGACTTGGGTCCCTAGCGATGCACGGTTCTACTCATATTTTGTAACTTTCTACCTACAGTGCTCGCCGTTCGAGTGTAATATGAATACTGCTGACTATTCTTAATTGAATTGCGAGATGTGTATCACTCAATTCATTCATTGTTAAAGTGAACATAATTCAGGCGTCAGGAGTTATGATTACAGGAACAGGTTGCAAAAATAGAAATCACTATACCATTAATCTCTCTTTGAAATGAACAGTATTGCAAAAGAAGCGAAAAATATATACAAAGTGAAACGTCCATAAAATCCGCAAGATGGGAGATTTCACATTTTATATGTCATGGAAGCCACACTTCCTCCACATTGCTAAAGCTACCTCCCGAAAGCTGGGAATGCTGTATAGCTGCCGTAGCTACTTCAATCCTGAGCAATTGCTTCAAGTATATAAGGGATTCATTCTGCCTAACTTAGAGTACTGCTCCCATATCTAGGGTGGCTCTTCTGTCCAACTATTAGATGGGATGGAATAAAAGGCATTTCGTCTTATTAATTCTCCTCCTTTAGTTGACAATATTTCTTCCCTTTCTCTTCGCCGCAATGTTGCTTCATTCTCTCTCTTTTACAGGTACTTTAACGGGCAATGTTCGGTGGATTTGGCATTCTGTGTACCGCCGGCAAGGCCGTGGGCTCGTAGCACACGTCTTGCCGCGGTCCCCACCATTTCTCTGTGGATGTCGGTCACCCTAGATTCTAGAATAACCCGTTATAGTACATCCTTCTTTCCTCACACAGTCAAACTGTGGAACACTTTGCCTTCTTCTGTGTTTCCACACTCATACACTCTGTCTCATTTTAAAAAGATGGTTTTCCGGCATCTTCGTTGTGTAGATTAATATAACCTTTTCCTTTTGTATTCATAATTTCTTGTTATTCTTATTTTTTCGCACCGAGGCCCCGATGTGGGTCGATGGCCTATGCCCGGGGGGTGGAGGGGGGAGGGCTATTCCCCGTAAAAAAATAAAATAAAAATAAATAAAAATATCATCAGTCCATAAAGCACGCAGACTTCCATATACAAACAATACTTCACGAGTCGGGAATCGAACCCTGGACCTGTGCGTGTGAACAGGAATCGCTACCACTGCGCAACAAGGACAATGAAACCTAGGAATTCATGGCTATATCAAATTTACTTTTTAATTAAAAAAGGACAATATTCTACCATTTCTTGATATT